ATTACTGTATTTTTACTGCAAAATAAAATTAGGCAAAATCAGCTTATTTTGCCAAAATGAACTGAAATTGTTACTTTGTGTATGTGTCATTTTGACTTTGCATCTAAAAATTAAGACTTAAAAATTATTTTAAAACTCAAAGCTTCAAAAGTCATTTTAATATTTATTTTGTCTTTTCCTATATTCAAATTGCATATGCAATTTTTACCAACAAAATATCCTTATTATTTACCCATGTATAATTTTCACATGCATATATTTTTGAATTTGTGAATTCTACCCACAATATGGATCAAATTCTGCCTTTACTGCCAATTTGTAAATCAGACCAAAACATTACTGATTCTTCCTCCCTATTATTGCACAGAAAATATGTGAGAAATAAAAACAGTTTTTTCCTATTTGCCCACAATAAAAATTCTTTTTCTGCCTTAGAGGGTACATAGCTGTAATAAATGTATTTTTCTAACCACAATATTGCACTGCATGGCACCAATTTCAAGACTAAATGTTCTAAGCAAATCTTATCAATAAGACTGAGACATAATCGTGGTTCCTTGGAGGTGGTGGTGGTAATGGGGTACATTGCCTGAAAAGTAGCATGAGGGAACACCTTGGGGTCCGAGAAATGTCTATATCTTTACCTGAGTGACGGGCACATAGCTGTATACCTATGGAAAAATTCCTTGAGCTGTACACTTCAAATTAGGGTACTTTTTAAGACTCCATTGTGTGGATATTTTAGCTCAATGAAAAAGACAAAACAGTGCAGCTCCCAGAGGTAGGATTTTACCTATAATGGGGTGAAGGGTAACCACTAGCAGCACAATTCAAGATGATTTCAGATTTTGATAAATCCAAAGGAAAAATGACATCTTCCGGCTCCTGAGTAAAAATAGGGCGGCTGAAAAGTCCATCACCTGAAAAAAGAAACGAATAACATCATTAAATGAATAACCACAAAAAAAACTGAACCTTGCTATCAATGCAAGTCTGTATTACATATCAAGCGAAATACACAAAGAGCACCACCCCAAGGATGGACATATTTGAAACTCGGGCTTGGGGGTGAGGGGGGGCAAGGGCAACATACGAAACCTAAACATCTGTACCCCCATAATATGCTGAAATAAAAAAAAAA